AAAATTTATTTATTTATGGTATGAATGTACTCTTCTCCATATTACTCCGTATAGAAAATCAAACGTCTTTTACCCTTAATTTCGTTTTCGCATTTTAGAATGCGGGTTGAGAGACTGATATAGTTTCATTTTAGGTTGATTTTTGAATAATTTTTCTGTTCTTCAGCATCATGGTTTAATCATCCTGGAAATGTGTCTGATATTTTGTTTGTTCTTTTGAATTCTGAGAATAATTGCTGCCTCTGTGTATTCCATTTCTTGTTTCTTGAATGATGCGATATGGAAAAGGGGGAAAGAACTCCTTTTGCTTGGTAATTTTTATGTGAAATTTTGAAGGAAGGTAATAAATAAAAATAAACAACAAGAAGTAAGTGTGATACTTCTAAACAAAATTTTAAAGAGGGAAGATTGTTTGTTTGCATTTGTGTCGATCAGTTGTCTATTTTATCGATTCATTTGGAGCTTCTGATTCTATATATGTGTGGGTGTGTCCATGTTTGACATGAATTGGTTACATATAAATAATTCCAATATTTATTTTCCATTTATTCCAAAATCTGTATCAACAGCTTGATCAGAGGAAATGCTTTCAAGATTCAATGCACTCTTGGCACTTACTTAGTCTATACAGTACAGTTTAATTATATAATGTAGCAGGGTGAGAACGTAGGAGTAATGGTTGGGGTGTGTTGATTGAATAAGCTCTAAATTAATTCCTGTCTTTTAAAATCAGCACCCGATGATTTACTTCCAACTTCATTTTTATGAGTTTTATTTCAGAGGTATGGCAAGTGGAAATTTGCAAGATGTTTCTCTACTTATTGCAAAAACTTGGCCATCAGCTTCACCCCTTGAAGTGCTCCCAAAATTTAGATTCTTTTTTAATGTTTTCATGGCATAAATGGAGCTAGTGTTAATCCACACACTTTTTTCCTGACATGCTTGTCTTCTTTTCTGCACTTTATATTAGTTCTGAACAGTAAATGCATATACAAAACATAAAATGAATATCTGACAGTATCAAATGCAGATGAAATTGTGAATTTTAAAAGCAAATATCTGTGGCAATTTTTTGTCTCCTTAGTGTGACAATCATTTTTCTAGTTGCTTACTGCTATAAAAAGAAAATCCTTCACCAATCATGGCTGACATTTTTGTTTACAATTTTCAGATGGTTCTAGATATAGATCTTAATGGTCCACCTAGAGTTGATGATCTTTTAGTAAGGGATGATGCTATTGGTGTGAATACACATTTAGAGCTTGGACTGCCTCAATTACAAGTGACAGCGAATTCCGATTCTATAGATGATGAAGTTGTGATATGCTCCCCAAGAAGTTTTGCTGAGGTATGCAATCTTATTTTGATTTTTTTTTTTTTTTTTTTTTTTTTTTTTTTTTTTTTTTTTTGGTTGTTGTTGTTGAGGTCCTGTTAAATAACTAAGTTTGAACATGGTATCTTGTTCCCCATCAGGCTAGGGAAAAGTCAAGGAGGAACCATCAGGTAATAGAAGTGCTAGATGATGAAACTGAAGCACAAGGAGGCCCCCCAGGTCTTTCTGCTTCTTATCTGGTCTCCTTTTTGATTGTCCAATTTCTAATTTGTATTCCTCTGATCCTATGTTCAATATTGACTTTTTATTAATTCTATGTGCTGGTAATGTTGCTTTTGTTTGTTGTGCATCTTATTGACCTAGTCCCACGACTTTTGTCCCAAGACTGCCTAGGCTCTAGGCGCCCCTAGGCCGAGTCAATTTTAGCTCTAATAGCCATTTTGTTTGGATGTCCGACTAGTCGGTCAGTCGGCCGACTAGTCAGCCAGACAACCAACTAGACTGACTAGTCAGCCAAATGACCAACTTGGTAGCCCTTAAAGAAAGTGAAAAGTGAAAAATGAAGACTCAAAGGAAGAAGAATAAATGAAGACGAAGAAAAGCAGGCAACACAACTCAAAAGCAAGAAGGAGTAAATTAGGCAACACAACACAACTCCGCGATCGTCGCTTGTTGCTCCCATTGCTAGACTGAGGTTGCCGGCAGAGACATTCTTTTTCCTTTCCATTCGACAGAGAAGAGGAAGGCCAAGGTGTTTTTTTTTTTTTTTTTTTGCTTTGATAGCCTTGAAGTAAATGAAAGGCAAAAACAAATTTTTTAATTTATGTGCCTAGGCTCTACTTTTTATGCTTGAAGTAAATGCAAGGCCGGTGAAGGAAAGGTCTTCTATGCTTTGGTATTGAAACTTTGAAGTAAATGAAAGGCCTTTTATGCTTAGGTCTTGAAGCCTGAAGTAAATAAAGGCCTTTTATGTTTTGGCATTGAAGCCTAAAGTAAATAATGGCGGGCATTGAAGCCTAAAATAAATGAAAGGCCTTTTATGCTTTGGTATGAAAGCCTAAAATAAATAAAAGGCAAAAATCAATATATATATATATATATATATATTTTTTTTAATGTACCTAGGCGCCCATCAACCGCCCTAGCGACTTCTACAACCATGTTATATTAAATTTAACAGTGCTTTGCTTACTATTCATAGTATTTGTTTTTATGTTTTTTCTATTCTTTAGGATGTGACCAACTTGATTTCATTGTATGCAAAATAAGGAAAAACAAGGATTAACAAGAACTGTTTAAAATGTAATGGAAAATGAAAGAAAATGGCAGATCAGGCCCATCAGGAAGGAGGAGTCTTAACCTAAAGGAGGTCAAGTTTTGTTTGAACATTCCCTCTGGTTTCCTTCCTTTGATCCTTAACTTACAAAATACTTAAAATATTCTTGTCCTCTACTGTGATTTTTTTGCTGAGTTTATACCCAAAATGAATTTTCATTTCTTTTTAAGATGGCCGTACTTTGGTGCAGTAACAGGGTGCATATAATTCTATGGTGGCATGGTTATACAATAGTTGGATTTTAATTTGAAATTGTTGGTCTATAAATTTGTTACTCTAAGTAGCCTGTAGTTGGAGTTTTCACAATTTTGCTCTTCTGCAATTGTTAAAAAAAAAAAGAAGAGATTTGTCAATTAATAACTAGGGGTTCTTTTGAACAGATACTACAATGTAATAGAGTCAGTATCATTCAAAAAAAAAAAAAAACCAGGGGTTCTTTTATTTGTTCTGACAATCTGACCCTTGTACTGCAGATGGGTTTATCTTTTGCAGACGAAGGAAAGTTTCAAGAAGGAATGGTGCAAATGTTTCGTGTATAAACTTGGAAACTCCAGAAAAGTACAAGGAGGTTATTATTCTCTTTTACTTTATTATGCTATCAACTTTTGTTATATGTATAAGTTTTTCTTCAATGATAGTTTATGGCACGTAATATTAGATCCTCCCTGTGTTATATCTGTTCTAAGTATTATGAAGGTTATTTTTGCTTTCCAAAGTCCAAACTTTTCTGATACAGCGGAAGAAAGTTGAGGGTTAGGTTTGGTATAGTGGCAAGTGCTCTCTTGTTAAAAACCTATATGGCAAGTGCTCACTTGGTATAGTGTGTTTGATTTAGATTTACTTTATTAAATGGCAGAGAAAGGGTGATAAGCCTGAACCAAAACCAAAACCACCGACCTTTAGCTGTCCAGTTTGTATGGGACAGTTTGTGGAGGAGACGTCAACCAAGTGTGGGCACATATTCTGTAAAAAATGCATCTCGACTGCAATAGCATCCCAAGGGAAATGCCCCACCTGTCGACAGATACTCAAAGGAAAAGACACATTCAGGGTCTACCTTCCGATATTAGATTAATGTTTATGCTACGTGCCAAAGTGAGTAGTTGTGATTATTATTTTCGAAGTTTGCTCAATTTTTCTGCAGTTCATAATACCGAGATGCTCTTCTATTATTCAGGGTGCAGAATGGGGAGTGTGAAGGGGTCTAACCGTTCTAATATGATTGATTGACGACGATTGGCTTTGATCATCCTTTTGGAGCAAGACTTGGGGTTTTTTGTTCTCTTTATAACATATGATTACTTATGTTTCAATGTTTTGCGGTGGGCATTTTGTCGGACTCCAATGTTTAAGGGACTCCCTACTCTCTTTCATCCAAACTCTTTTTGACTTCCTTTTGTCTCTTCTTTTATTTACTTGAGTTTCCTGTGCAAGGATGCAAATGCGTTTGGGAAGAAAATCAAAGTAATGGGTAATGGAGTCAAATGTGTTTAACAGTTTTACTCATTTTGAAATGAGTATTTCTTGACAATAACTGGAGAAAATGAGCTATTTTCTACTCTTTTTTCAAGAAATGTGTACGATGAGAACTGAATATTCAAGATTAATACAGCAGAATAAATAGAATATAGAAAAGGATATATAAATCTAATCTAACTAAAATACATAATTCTAATATGTACAATAATTGAAGAAATGAGTCAATTTTTAAAAATTTAAAAATATTTTAATTTTTCAACTCATTATACGTTTTAAGAAAATTGAAGAAATGAAAAACATACTTAAAGCTTAGTGTAATTGATGCCTTGGCAAAAATGGCCTGAACCACCATTTCAAGTTTGAGAAGCCTTCGGTTTACTGCCGAGGTTCCCCTCCCAACGATCCAACAAAAAAAAAAAAAACTATTTTTTCAAATTAAAAATGGAAAATTGTTCTCTATTTGTTTAGAATTTGAAAAATCCAATTAATTAAATTATCTACACTTCGACCCCAAACACATTTGGCCAAATGCAACACCACTTCTATATTAATTTTTTTAAAAGTAACCACAAACACAATTCCAAAATGTGTTTAAGGTACTTCTATGAATACCAAAAAGGCATTTCGGAAATGTATGTGGTGGTTGACAATCTTTTATTTTTTTTTAATATTTGGGTAATCACATTTTGAAAATGTGTCTGATGTATATATACGCATATACATACACCAAATGCATTTCTCAAATGCGTTTGGCAAAAGAATAAAAATTCAAACCCAAAACTTGGATTTGAGAATTTTGAGCACATCTCATTGCCATCCTATTCTTGTGTTAATGATATGAAAATGAGTAAATACCCAAAATGGTCCTTCAACTATAGCATAATTCAAAAATAAGTCCTCAACTATCGAGTTTAGCAAATTAAGTTCTCAACTATTCAATCATTACTCAATAAGGTCCTTAACTATTCAATTCTTACTCAATAAGGTCATCAACTATTCAATTCTTACTCAATAAGGTCCTCAACGAAGGATTGATTTGTGAATTATTGAGTAAGAATTAAATAGTTGAGTACTTAATTGGTAAAATTGACATCAACCCTATACAAATAGAAATAGAGCAACATTTACCTTTAACTATGGGCTCGCTAAGCTAACAGAAAAAGATCTAATCACGGAGCTAAGACTTATTCTCTTCTATACTACTAATGGGTGGAGGATCTAAAATGCCATTTCATTTTAATGCTGACTTTTATTTACTGGGGGGCAGGCAACTTGACCAAGTTCAAACTCATCTTATGTGTTTTGCAAAGCGGCTCCGAGTCAAAGTAAAGAGCATAAAGCCCAGAAAAATGCCCCACACAGCAAGCTTGCTAGTGTGCTCCCTCACATGAACATATCCGTTCTTGGTTCTCAAAGTTTGTTCCTTTTCCGATTTTCACAATCCACAGATGAATCCTATAAAACCATTACCATTCTTCAGACATTGGTTTCTTGACTTCTATTGTCGCCTCTGGTTCCATTCTGGTCCGGGGAATCGACAGCTGGGGAAGTTGTCGAGGTGTCACTTCCCATGTCTTTCGTCTTGTGCAGGAGAAAAGTCCCCGAGAGGATGGTTACGAACCCGCATAGTTCTGTTACTATCTGCGTTGCATTATTGTGATCCCAGTCCTGAATCCACGCCAACACAACGTCAATATGGTATGCACCAGAAACGAAAAAAACTGCTACTAATCTTGTAAAGAATAAAATGCGAGGTTACCTTGAACATGATCACGCTAGCTAGAATGGTGAGTGTCGTGAACATGACATAGTACACGGGTGAAACTACTGCTGTATTGAAGGTCTCCAGTGCCTACAGGAACACCATTCCATGGTTAATTGAAGTTTGTTTTGTCCGGTACCCCTTAGAAACAATACAAAATAAATAGAGTTAATTCCACCAGAGGTCCCTTGTCTTTGGTGGCAATTCCAAATTTAGTTCCAAACTATCATTTTTGCCATTTAACATCCCTAGACTATTATTTTTTGGACACTTTTAGTCCTGCTCATCACTTTTCCTATTTTTCGTAAGGGCATTTTTGTCTCTTCATATTTTTCTTTTATTATTTTTCCGGTTTCAACTAGTTTATAACTTTAGGTAACCTCTGATTTTTAGTAATAATATTTTCCAACCGATTTTTAGAAAAGTCCTAAACCAATTAAACCGGTTGAAACCAGGAAAGTAACAAAAGAAAAATATGAAGAGACAAAAATGCCCTTACTAAAAATAGAAAAAAGGTCATGAGAAGGACTAAAAGTGTCCAAAAAATAATAGTCTAGGGATGTCAAATGACAAAAATGATAGTCTGGGACTAAATTTGGAATTGCCACCAAAGACAAAAGACCTCTGGTGGAATTAACTCAAATAAATATATAGATAAAAGACGGCAGGAATATGCAGCAGCAGGTAGGTACCTTGTTCAGATAGTTCAGCTGAAAAATGCAACATATGATGACAAATATCGTGAAAAACCATGTCTGGAAGTACTTAAACTGATTTGTTTCTTCAATCGTAAGCTTCAGAGCTATTCCAACAGCTTTTACACCCATAACCTGTATCAGTGAAAAGGAAAAAACAAATAAGACCAACATGAAGAGGAATAACTCAAATAATTATTGTGTTATAAGCAATGTTGAAAAAATCGCTAGGCGCCTGGGGACCGCCTAGGGCACCTAGAGTGCCTAGGCGGGCGCCTAGAACGCCTAGGCGGGCACCTAGAGCGCCTAGGAGGCCGACCACCTAGTGCCTAGACGCGATTTTTGCAACACTGGTTATAAGGAAGAATCTTTAGAAGTTATTCATACCGTGAGTGACCCCATGAGGGAACAAATTCCAATGTAGACGACCATATGTGACTGTCCATAACGTGGCACGTAGCGAAAAATAAGGACTAAGACCAGAACTATAACTACGCAGGTGTAGACAATGAATCCTGCCCATTGTGAAGAATTGGAAATAAACCAAACATGAGGATAACAAAGAGTGAAATATCTGCAACCGTAATTATGTATACAAAGAGTGAAATATCTCCAATCTTTTCTTATTTCTGTTTCCATGAAACTATTAGAAATAGAAATGTGTTATTCCTTTTCCATTATAGTTAAGCAATACATATAACCGTACAATGAGTTCAGGCAAACAAATTTACGTGTAGTAGACGAGTCAGTTTAAAATATGTATCTGTATTCAAATTGAGGGAATATAAACATGGCTTCGCTGCACATAAGTTAAACAATATATTCAACATAGAGCCAAGTGCTACAAATATCATACCTGGCTCGGTTGCTAGGTTCCAGATCTCCTTGACAGAGTCAATTTTCCTTTCTAAAGGGGCATGTAATACGATACTGGTTGACCCGACAAGGCAGAGGATACAGCCAACCACACCAAAGATATGCAACCGTTCTTCCAAGATAAAATGGGCTAGCACTGCACTGCGTACATGGGAAATTATACACACAAATTTTAATATCTCTCTCGAACTGAAAAGTGGCTTTTGTGAACTGTAACATCATCTGCCATGAAGGCATACCTGAAGATAATACTCAAAGCTCCCAATGGAGTCACAAGGATTGCTGGAGCATATGCATAAGCAGCGAAATTCGCCCCCTCACCAATAATCACTACAACAAATCATAACATTGTGATTATAGACAAAATTGCACTATACAAACTCCATATCATAATACACTAACATATATGTGATTCTTACTTGCTATCATCCCAGCCCACCACCATGGTTCCAACAAGTAAGAATGGCCTCCAGAACCTGTTCAAAACTAGAGAAATTAACCAAATACATGCAATGATATTGAATAAACATGAAAACATCACAATATGAAGCCTAGTGAGTACGTGAAGATATGATGTTTGAGGAATTAAAGGTAAAGGTAGACATAATTTGATGAAAACTAAAGAAACAGAGAGGGAAGAAAAGAGATTAAACCTGCTCGTTTTCCAGTGGCAGCAGCCTTCATAAGACCCTTTTTCTTAATAATAAAGCTGGATCCAATAAAAATGCTAGATGACAGAGCTAAGACAAGTCCATGAACATTGTCAGAAAATCCCCCCATTTAAGATGGGATTTTGGAATGCTACGATTAAACGCACAAATGAAAACCCTGCATGAAAATCGGTAAACCAAATAATCAAAAAAGATAGTTTGCGTACTGTGAAAACGGAGAAGAGATTATCTAACTCAAGAAAGAATCCGAAACCAGAATATTCTGAACGAAAGTTAGAGAAATAAAAAAAGAAACCTTCTTTGGGTTTCTTTGCATTCGTTCACGCGACTAGAGATCAGAACCACGAATGGGTTTTATCAGAAATTCAGAAAAATACAAGGAAAAAAAAAAAAGGTCTCTTGTTTTCTTTTATCGCCGTCTCTTTCAATCCTTCTCGCATCAATTTTTTTTTTTTTTTTTCTGAGAATTTGTGTTCTTGTTAATTGTTTTTCTGTTTCTTTTCGTTTCAGGAAGAAATTTTGGAGAGAGAGAGAGAGGGTGAAATTTTGGGGAGAAGCAAACGGTCCTTTCTGAGTTTTGAGCCACCACTTCAAGGGATCTGCCGATTCCCGCGTTCCCTATATCCCGTGCTCAATATCTTTTCTTTTCACGATTTCACCACCAACTTTCAACTTTTTTTAAATCATTATATATATCTTTAACTGTAACATCTTCACAACTATTATTACATTACCTTGTGTTTTACTATCTTTTAAATTTCAAAGTGAAAACGTCTCGTTCTAGGGGTCCCCACACCTGACCGACATAATTGTGCTATTATTACATTATTACCTTGTGTTTTACTATTTTTCAAATTCCAAAGTGAAAATGTCTTGTTCTAGGGGTCCCTACACATGACCGACATAATTGTGTTATTATTACATTACCTCGTGTTTTACTATTTTTCAAACTCCAAAGTGAAAACGTCTCGTTCTAGGGGTCCCCACACCCGATCGACATGATTGCGGAAGATGATTAAATTACTGTAATTCAACAATTTATTAAATAAGAAGAAACGCACTATCTCACGTTTAACTTTAACTTCCTTCCACTCGCGAGTCACAACTACATGCCTATGTACTTGTACAACCCATCTATATATCATTGAATCCAACTTGCATATTGTATGTTTGGCGTTTTGAGCTAACATATATAATAATAAATATGAGCAAATTACACTTTTGGTCCTGTGACTATAGAGGGTGTGTTAATTTGGGTACGTGACTTTTAAAACTAACAATTTAGTCCTTTAACTATCATTTTTTTAGCAGATTTGGTCCTCCCGGCCAAATTGCCAGTGAAATTTGGCCGGAAAGACATTTGACTTTTTAAATCAAATATTGGTGGGGGTAATTCGGTCTTTTTAATTGTTGAACCGAATTACCCCCACCAATATTTGATTTAAAAAGTCAAACGTCTTTCAGACCAAATTCCACCGGCAATTTGGCCGGGAGGATCAAATCTGCTAAAAAAAATGATAGTTAAAGGACTAAATTGTTAGTTTTAAAAGTCACGTGCCCAAATTAACACACCCCCTATAGTCACAGGACCAAAAGTGTAATTTGCTCTAATAAATGTGCAGTTTAACTATTAATTTAATATTTTGATTGAGACAAAAACATAATACAACTAAACCTATGTGAAAAAGAAGAAGAAGAAGAAGAAGAAGAAGAAAAAGTAACAAATCCTTAATTTTTAATTGAAATAGAAGAAACATACGTACTCATCACAAGCACTATCTTTGTTTACCACTCGTGGGTGTATATGTAAAAAGCAATTAGATTTTAAATAAATTTACATTTTATAAATTATCAATTAATTAATAAACAAATTATACATAATTTTTTTGGGTATATACAAATACATCATGAATAAGCAGAGATATTGAATTAACATATTCCACACATAACTAACTTCTATTGTATTGGACTCAATCTAGGCATAAGGTTAAGTATTAGTGCATTCATCGCCACCAAATAATAATGTCTAAAATTATATAATTACCTAACAGGCATTAGGCATGGAAAACAACCGATCATGGGTTGCAAACAGGGCAAAAATGTATGGGAGGATAATTACACCCCGAAAATGTATTATTGGGACCTGACAGTTATGTGAAAGTTATATCCAATGTGATGAACTTCGCTGAATTATCATGATTTGTCTTCTACTATCTTATCGGGCTAGAGTGTGATAGTCCTTGGAACAAGAAATTTCACTTTTTGTGGTCAAATTAATTTATTTAAAAAAAAAAACAAAAAACAAAAAACAGGTTGCTTGACGTGCTAAGAAATGATCAATTGATAAGTTACAAAATTCATAATCATAATATGTATAAAGAGAATTGAGTTGAAAAGGGTGAGGTGGACACATGCAATGGGTACTAAAAGAAGAAAGAATTGTGTGGTTTATAGTTTATAGGATGCATTACAGACCACCCAGAAAGCAAGACAGATATTCAATAATATGTATATATGTGTGTGTGTGTTGGAAGCTGATTTGATAGCAACTCCCTTTCAATCCCCATCGTCTACAAGTTCACAACGTGGATGCTCAACCTTTGGATCTGAAAGGAGAAAGTTGCATGCACCCCGTTTCCCATTATCTCTTTAGCTTTTGTTTAATCTTCACATGAAAAGGTTTAAGTTGGAAAATGACTATTCAGTTTGTGCATGTTTTGAGTTGACAAATTCTAACATCATTTCAGTAACACTTGGGAGTCATGCAATGTAAATATAACTAAATCAAAATCATGAATTGCAACTAACCCCTTTTCCTTTTTGCTCTATCTAACATTTATACGTGTTCTATGTTACAAATCAAAATTTTGTTGCGGTGGATAGAATCACTCACTCATACTTTTACACTCAATTAGAAACATGTCAGCATCTCATCTCACCTTCCTTTAATCAAACTACCTTAGCCTCTCTCTCTCTCTCTCATCTGGGATTGGGGCCTCCACAGATTTTCCATTTCCAATCAATTAGGAGGGGAGGAGTTCACCCTATATGTAGGGCAAAAAATCGCCAAAACAATCCTATAAGTGTGTGTGGAGATTGGTACACCAAGCTGCCACAGAAGAAGTAAAGATTTGCTGCTTCACTGCACTATCACGCCCTCCTAGAGAATGCCAACCAAAACCACAGCATAACCATCTCCGAGAGAGATGCTTCTGAAGTGAAGATCCCACATTTGAAGAACTCACCATAATATTCCCGTCAAATGACAAGCACTCAATAAGGAATAACATAGGGAAGAGCTACAATTTCAGGAGATATATACAGAGCTTCAGACCATACCCGTTGCTCCTCATTGGGAATATCCTTGGGCTTCATACCTCCTGAAGAATCCTTGCTTCCAACCAACCATTCCTGGTCATCATATTCATTCCACTCGTCCATCTTGGGAACAGAAAGTATCTGGCTGAGATACTTTAAGTCCGGATGAGGAGGCTTTTTCAATGTTTCAGTTATCTGATTGGGTTGGGGAGGTTTTTTAGATGTTTCATGTATTTGATGATAGGGATGGTGAGGTTTCTTACATGCTTCAGCTATTTCATCAGAACAGGGAGGTTTCCTAGATGCTTCAGCAATTTGACAATTATCAGTAATCATTGGTGAAGGTTTTGGTTTAGAGCCAGACAATAGCTGACCTTGTATTGTGCCATTGATTCTGTGATCCGTATTAACCACTTTAAGATTAGAGCCACCTCCTTGTCTAGCTGAGGTATAGAGGTGGGGTGTTTGAGGTGGCTCCACCTTACTTCCATTCTCTATAGTCTCATTAGGAATATGCCTGGGCAATTTAGCAGGCCTGGATTCGCTTTCTGTAACATGATAAAAATAACACTAGTCAGCCAACTAAAAGGTCAATAAGAGCTAAAAATGTATATTCATATTCAAGCAATGCCTCTAAGGAAAAGACAGTAAATTGCATCCAAAGATTTTCTAACAGGACATTTTACTGACAACATAACAGAACTTGATGAGACATCCTTGTGGGTGGGGAGGCAAGACTGGGCAAATGCTTCTTCCTATCCATCCATCATTAATGGTGAGACAATGAAATTTCAAATACAGTAGCTTTTTACCAGTATGTATTGAGCATCAGAGGACTCACCATGTAAAAAACCATTGCTCTCAATATCTTTCCTCTTTCTGATATTTCCTTCAAGGGCAGCATCATTATTGTCCCCAGAAATGTGTAGAGTTTTACTATTGGTAACAGCAATAGAATCATTTTTACTGTTGTTTCTGAATCTATCCTGCTCACTGTTCTTGAGCTTGTTTTTCTCTTTAACCTTTTCCTTCTTTTCCCGGTCTTTATCCTTCTTCTGGCTTTTTTTATCCCGGTCGTTATCCTTGCTTTTGTGCCCCAGTTTTTCATCACCTCCTTTAGTTTTTTCTTTTTCCTTTTTGTGCCCCAGTTTTTCATCACCTCTTTTAGGTTTTTCCTTTACTTCTTTCCTCTCATTATTCTCCTCCAATGGTCTAGGCATTCCTTCAACTTTACTTTTGCTGGCCCCAGAAAAGTTGGGGACCGTTGCATTCCCGCTAAATACAGATCCATTCCAGGTTGCTTGTGCACCCATCACACTGTTACCAACTCTCTTCTCCATGTCATCTTCACCAAAAATTCCAACATCCTTGTTCCCTAACCTATCCATCATTTCATCCCTTTTCCGCTCGCCAAAACTACCAACACTCTTAGCCAATTGATTCCCTTTGCCCTTCTCATCATCTTTGATCCTCCTACCCAACTCCTGCACAAATTTTGATTCATCTACCTCTCTATCAGGAATGCTGGTTTGAACTGGCTTTTGCCCATGCTGGTCTTGGTGCTGAGCAGCATATTTCTTGTTCTCTAAGAAAATGCCACTGTTTTGTTCATCATTCTTCCCAGGGTCTGCACTAGATGCCCCAAGATGCCCGGCTAGTCTTGCCTCCTCAGAAATGCTGCTTCTCTCTTTATCTTTGTTTTTGTCCTTTTTGTCCCGATGTTTCTCTTTCTTATCCTTGTGTTTATCTTTTTTCTCTTTCTTTGCTTTGTGCTTCCCATCACTTCTATCCTTCTCCTTTTTCTCTTTGCCTTCTCTCTTCTCCTTGTCTTTCTTATCCTTTTTGTGCTTTTTCTCTTTATGTTTCTCCTGAAACACAAAAGGGAGAGCCATACTTGATGCAACATAAAGGGACAAAGAAAGATCAGAAATCAAGCCCGGCATGCAAAATTATCAAGCACAAATCCACTAAGAATAAATTGAATTCAACATTGCATCTAACTTACAAACTAAAAATGAAAAATATCAGGTTCATGTGGAAACATGATGCAACAACTACACATGCACGGGAATATTAACAGATTGAAGGCACCAACGAGGTAACACAAAACACAATACAATAATCTAACTGCGGTTCATAGCCTCCAAAATATTAATCCATAAGTCCATGTGTTCATTCTTGAAACCAAAAAATACTAACATTAAAAAACAAAAAAACAAAAACAAAAACAAAAACAAAAACAAAAACAAAACAAAAACAAAACAAAACAAAACAAAATAAAAGCAGAACGAAACAAAACAGTTAGAATGACAGATAAATGTGCAAACTAAACACCAGCATTCTTACCTCAAAATTAGAAGTCGAGGCACCACTAACCAATACTTACAGATAACATTATTGTTGCTGCTACTCTGAAACTTATGCTACAAGCTTCTATTTGCTAAAGTAATAAGAAAGAGAATGTATCTTGACAAAAGTCACATTTAAGCAAGCAATGTAATATATTTAAAATATATCAACGGCTCACATGAAAGTACTTCCAACTTTTAGTTGAATGGAGTTGAGAAACTCACACATTCAGTAGCATTTACTAGCTTCTGAGAATATGAGGTATCACCCTAAGGTTAAACTTCACTTTCTCATGTTCTGAGAAGAGACACCCTAAGGTCTGTTTGTCATTTCATTTTTGAGATCCTTAGCAGTATCAAGTCGCACACTTTCATCAGGCACTTCAATTTAGAGTCCAATGAATCAGGTGGCTCAGTGCTGCTATTAGGAAACATATAATCTATTACCAAGATCTGGAGAAAATCCACACCAAGACAAATATGTTACTCCCAAAGCGCTCTTATAAAAATGAAGAAAATTTATATTTCATTGTTACAAGATAACTCCTCTAAAATACCAGACTAACACTCCTCCACAAACTGCCAACTAAAGCTTATTGTCTGGTCCGTTATAGTATAACTCAAATCATAGATTCTTAGACAAACCCTCTCATCCCAATCACCTAAAAGTATCATTTATTTATTATAAAAAAAATAAATTAAAAAAAAAAGTAACACACAACTTCAAAATCTTATAACTTAAAAGAGACCCTGCAAATGCATAATCTGATACTCATAAGTATCCAAAATGCTCTGTCTAGCTTACTATTTCTTTCATCACACCCGTGAAACAGAGGATCAACCACTCTTAATATATCAGCTTCGCTTTCATGCCCTCTTATCAATCAATATCCTATATTCCTATATTTCTATTCTCCGATCACTTCCTGATGGACAAAATGTTAAATGCCTTTCATTCCCTTATTCTCCCCAAATAGGAAGGGGGTGGAGCAAAAAGAGAATCCATGGCTGTCTTTTACAGTGGATTCTCTACATGGGGAATAAAAACCAATTAGGTATTTAGGTTTTTCACAGAAGGAAGCAACTAAAAGCATCAATTCTAGCATCAACAACATGATAAAATCAATTTAAGCACCCTCTATTTCAAGCAAGTTTTTCAGCCACTAAATGATTCCATATTCTGATCTTCACAAAAAGGTTTAATTGAAAATAGTTGCACTAAATCTTTTTAAATTAAAATAATGTTTCAAAAACTGATCATGCCATCTCTCAAACACAAGAGGCTATCATATTGCATCTAGATTCTTTATTTTAACCTTTTTTCTTTCGTTCTATAATTCTTCATGATCGATTAAAAATCATAAAATCCCCTTATTTAAGATTTGAAAGTAAAAACAGCTATCCTTTAATTCTCAAGACATGCACCATCTCCTTTCAACACAATATACACAGTATACACCTGACCTAGCAGCCTAGCTCCTCTCTCATTCTGAAGACATGCAACATCTCTATACTCTTCTTGCTCTCTTTCTCATTTTTCTTTCCTCTCATCCAAACACAAATTCTTCTCTGTTTTCCTTTCCCTCTTATTTTTCTCTCCAATTTTTTTTCCCCTCGCTCTCTACCCATCCATACAATGTAGGATGGACAGACAATCTCCATACTTTAAGACTGTCATCATAAAAAAATTGCATGAGATTTAAGGTGTCCTCAATTGAAGGATAAACGGGATAGGAAAAGAAATTTGTGAATAGAAATATTTCCTTTCTTTGGTCAGTAGAAAGCAAGGGGAAAGAGATTATTCTTATACGACATTTTCAATTTTGGAAATGTCTTGGCATCTATTTTTGGTTCTTTGTAATGCAGGTCCCAAAATCAATATCCACAATTCCACATGCATACTACACTCAACATTTCAACCCACATTAGAAATTTTTTCCTGCTCTTTCCACAACTGTCTCATCAAGTAATGCATTCGCTTAATTGGATTTCAAGTAAAGTCTCCTAATGCCATATCATGTTCCAATAGCATAGATGGGATTTTTTTTTAAAGCTTTTGTTAATAAATGGTATTGAATAATAGGAAACTCTAGTCCTATTCCTAGTAAGAGCGGGCTTAGCTCAATGTTCCTATAAATATAGAATCTTTATACAATTCAATATACATAAATAGGGAGAGATACACTCTATTGTAATTTTTTATTATAATATATTCTTTTCTATTCTCTATTTCTTTTTTTTCTTACATATTGTGGTTCTGCCTAACTAGCGAGTAGTGGTTATTTGCCACTCTTCAAGCCTTTAAATCCCTCAATTTTAACATGGTATCAAAGCCTACATGTCCTAGGCCAATTTTTGGCAACCAAGCCTATAAAATTCCGTCGTCATCCCAATGTTGCCACCTCAACTACACGTTGACAATTACTTTTTCAACGAGATTTTCAAGCTCCCTTTTCTTAGTTTTTCTGGTGAAATACGAAGGCGTTTTGGGTCCGAGTTTCTTTCCTAAGGGTGTTCAATTTTGGTATTACTATGTTTGTTTCCTTATTTTTGGCATGCCATATTTATTCCCCGATGATATTAAATTTTGGCGTTAGTATATTTTATTTCCAAAGGCCTTTTATTATTCCCATGTTTCAAGTAAGGGAGAGTGTTCCCATCAACAAGCAACTGGTGTTCTATTTTATTATTTTCATCGCTTTGGGCTTATCTTCATTACTATGGGATCTATTGTATCTCTTTGCTACTTTTGCTCCATTTCGACTCGACCGTTGTTGATGAAGCCATTTGGAATGTGTCCTAGAGTACTTATGTTGCCACACTATCTTGAGATTGTTTATATTCGACTCCTTCCTTCACGCTTTCATCTTCATTCCCAAGGGTAATGCATGGCACCGTTTCTTCCGAAGCCATTTAGCATTGTTATCTAGCCGCATTTGATCTTCATTTCAAGTCTATTGTTGTTGATGAAGGCATTGGCGGGTGTCCTAGAGTGCCACGTTATCTTGAGATTGTCATATTCAACTCCATCCTTCACGCTTTCATCTTCATTCCCAAGGGTCATGCACAACGTTGTTTCTTCCGAAACCATCTAGCATTGTTATCTAACCACATGTAATCTTCATTTGTAATTTTGGGTGAGGTGGGAGTGTTTGTCTTATTCAAACCTTGAAACTTCTAAATGTTCCAGCTTGAGGGGGAGTGTTGAATAATAGGAACTCTATTCCTTCCTAGTAAGGGCACATTTAGCCAAATGTTCCTATGAATATAGGCTTTTTATAGGGTTCAATATACAAAAGCACAGAGAGAGACACACAATCTATTGTAATCTTTTATTATAATATATTCTTTTTTTATTCTACCTTTCTTTGGTTTCTCACATATTGTGCTTTCACCTAATTGAAGGGCAGTGGCTATTCGCCACTCACTAGGCCTTTCAATCCCTAAATTTCAACAAATGGCAAGTACAAGATACATGAAACTTAGAACCATATATATGGTCCCAAATGTAATTGATAATACCAAACCTGGCCTAAGAATACTTGGTGTTACAGCTGAAGTATTATTGAATTAGGTAAAAACACAGGGTAATTCTAATATTAGACAGCCTAAACTAGGCCTTTCAGTCCCTAAATTTCAACATATGGTAAGTACTAGATACATGAAACTTAGAACCATATTTATGGTCCCAAATGTAATTGATAATACCAAACCAGGCCTAAGAATACTTGGGGTTACAGCTGAAGTATTATTGAATTAGGTAAAAACATAGGGAAATTCTAATATTAGACAGCCTAAAACTAGACCACAGATCTCAGCAGGTGATCAGTTTCTCAATCTTATTTCTCCCTCCACAAATAACAATATATTATCCTAATTTGGTATAATAAAGTAAAATTCTCCTAAAATATCTCATTGTTCCATATACAAAATTCAGAGACACAATATCTACTATCTAGGTCTAAGACATGTGAACATAATCATATTACAAAACTTAAATTTACAGCTAGCCCTTCTCTAGAATTATATATAGTTTTTTGAATCTCCATTCTCAGAGAATTGAAGAGAGAACAATGTAAGTTTTATGGGAATACCAAGCCTAGGAGCAAAATAACTTTTTTATACAGAGTACTTAAGAACATATAATCCACAGTACTTGTTTTCTTTCTTTGTTTGTACAACCATACTGTCATAGATTTAACAAAATTGGATCACAACAGAGTTTTTCACTCCAACAGGTAAAAGGGGGTGACACACTACATTGTTGATGGTATATAACTATATATGATGTTAGAGATCGTCTAAATGGTCTCACACTATACAAAGAAGCAATCATAGTACATAGCATGTCACAGGGGACTACCAAGGTACATTAAACTTGGAAAAGTTTCAAATGTGAAGATAAAACCACTAAAAAGGAAGATCACTCAAAATTGTTGTGCAATAATGCAATATAAATTAGAATACGACTTTGGCATTCAGCTCAAACTTACAAGTACAACATAACAGACTTTACAAGGCCATTGCTCTGGAAAACTCATCAAGTATAATACTATAAGACAAACAAAGGGCGGATCAATAAGGAAGCCAGAGTCTAGACCTAACAAAACGCCACCCTGTATATTCTCATTGCCACTCTTAACACAGAACCAATTAAATGGTGGGGATGATGTTTTAAATACTTGAAAGCTTGCTACTCCTATTTCAAGTTCTGAGCATAGATTTGCAGTCTATAATGTATGAGGATATAGTTCTGCAGACATTAGTTTTGTCCTAATTCAATGTGTTACAACCACTGTCCTGATGTCACAAGAAGATGAGTATAATAGTGTTGCTCTAGAAGTGCCTCTTTCAAACACAAACAAACCTATAACAGCAAATAACCTACAAAGTATAGTTTATGCTACTGAGCTACTCTGTACAATCAAAGCTTCTGAACCCTAAAGAGAATTGCAATAGATATGAGCATTTTACGCAGTTAAGAACAAGACAGCAATAAACTGAAGATAATAAAACACTGCATCGCCTGATGTCATAGAAAACAGGGACCCTTCAGAAATACTGCATACACCCAAAAACAAATTGAACAAAACTGTCCACTCATTGCCACCCATATTATCAAAATATTGTTATGATGCTCGTGGAGTTTTGACCAAACATATACACCGTGTTAATGATATAATTGCACAAACCTCTTTTAATAGGCCTGCATCTTCTGGTCTAGGCTTCTTTTCGTATCCAGGTGGTGGAAATGGAAAGCAGCGAGACATTGCAAAGAATTCTACCGCTAGCAAAAAGAGTGTTGTTGAGAAAATGGTATCCCCCAATTACTTTCTCGAAGCAGTATTCCAGTAAGGGAAAATAACAGCAATTATTATCCTACCAATGCACCATAACACCACGTCCCTTTCCAATTTCAGTAGGCCTTTAACACCCACTGAATCAGTCTTCCATAAACCCCCCACACTGAAATCTTAGCTCTATGCAATAGAAGCTCTAAAAGCCTTGTCCAGCACTCACAGCAGACACCAATGAAAAACTGTAATATACAATAATTCACTTCTTTTATAGCAAAAGCTTCCACAATAACTATGTCAATCCGAATGGTAACTTGAGAAAGGAAAATTGTCCACTGCAATTTGGTTCTGATCTCTTTGAAAGTATTACTTCTCAATGATTACCCCACCATGTGACAAATATAATTACCAAGACATCTCCAGCACCATCCAGCTAAGGCAAAATGGTCAACCTGTATTTTTCCTTTTCCTTTGTTGTTCTTGTTCTTTTTTTTTTTTTTTTAATAACACTGATAACATACAAATTCTAGGTTTACCTACAGTCCTCTTCCATGCCCTTTGGGAACGAACACTAATAACAGCATTCTTATTATGGCATTCAGTCAGATTGGAAAGCTAGAGTTCAATGCCAATTTTCAGCTCGACACCTCGGAAGTCCAAAGCACACTTCATTAATCGGGCGATCCGCCTATGCAAGAGTTAGCGGTATAAAAAAAAACCCGCCGGAAACACCCAATAATCAGTGCCAAGTCGGGACTCGCTGATCAAAACCCTAACACACAAGTTTGAAATTCCGATCCGATTCGATAACCCTAAGACAAAAATCCAGCAATAGCAGCAATCACCAGTACCCAGAAACGAGAACCAACGCAGGGGAATAAAACCCTAATCTCCGCAAGCACGAAAATGAGGAAAAACAAGAGTTGAGGGAATTGGAAGGAATCAAAGTGGTGGCAACACTTTGTTAGAAAGGGGAGGAAATCCCTTTTTCACGGAAAGATAAAAAGAAAAAGACGAATGAAAAGGGGGGATTCAATGGAGCTAGGATATATATATTACATAACAACAGCATTCAATTAACTTGTCGGGAATGAAAAAAAGAAGAATGGAGGGAATTGGTTTTGGGGAAGCAGACACGCAATGGAATGGAAAGAAAACGCAGAGAAAAAAAGGGGCTAAAGCCTCGCCCGCCTGCCTACATACATTCACAGAGAGAAGCGAAGAGAGGATGAGCGAGAGAGAGACGGAACACAAATCCCCCACTCTCGCTCTCGTCCGTCTGTAATCAACTCTCCCCCCGCTGCCTTATATATTTACTACTCCGTATTTAAAAATTTTAATGTATAAATTATATTGACACTATTTTTTTTGTCATTTTTAATTTTTTGATAAAAGCAACCCCATTAGACTATTCGCACGCATAAAAGAGTAGCAATTGCAAAGCTGATGTGAAATGTTTTTTTTTTTTTAGAGATTACGTGGAGCAATTATTATTGCAATTTGACAGTCAAATTGCATTTTTTACGAGGAAAATGCTATGCGTACCTTATTTTTTACTCTTAATTTATATTTTTACACATAAAATTTTGATATAGATATTTATATTGGGACTCATATGACAAAAAAATTAAGGGGATGTTTGGTTCATGCAAAATGATTTTCACAGGAAAATATTTTCCTTAAAGTGGAGGAAAATGTTGTTTTCTAGTGTTTGGTTCATGGAATTTCCTCACATTTGAGGAAAATAAAATCCTTGGTTGGACTAAGAATTTTGTTTTCCATTGAAGATGGGAAGAAAAAGTGATATGAATTGTCTATTTTACCCTTGTTTTTTTTTTTAAATTATATTACTCTTATTAATTTGTAGGGACTTATAGGTTTTTATACTCGTTATTCCTTACAATTCCAAATCTAACCAAACAATAGAATTAGTATTCCCAGTAATTCTTTTTCCACCAACCAAACAATGAAATTCATCTTCCTAGTAATTGTTTTTTTCATGAAATTTCAATTCCACTTCCTTTAAAATATTTTCCGCGAACCAAACAAGCCCTAACCTATCAGAACCCGCCACATCCGGGAGTAAGATTTGAGAGTGCATGTAGTAAAACTCTACTTTATTTATAACAAAATAATTTTTTAAATAAGTTGATGTGATAGTGAAGTTATTTTTTAAAGAGGGAAGAGAATTGCATGGATAACGAGTGAAGAGTGAATAATTGTAAATTTTGTGATGTGACATTTTGAGAGTGAGACAAAATTACATGAGTGCGGATAACTTTAAGGGTTCTTTCTTAGTTTTTATGTTTGCTTGGATGAGAGATGAGAGATATTAAAATTAATTTGCAGATATGTGAATTTTTGTAGAACTCAGGAGGAGAATTAAAAAAAAAAAAAAAAATCATCACTGCATGTGCAGTGCATGCACCCGCGGGACGAATTAACTAAACCATTTTCCTCAAAAAAAAAAAAAAAAAATCTGGTTCTAACAACTCTTTGTTTTTTTTCCCCTTCCTCATTCATCTCTTACTTTTTTCGCGTCGGTAAAAGTCCAACCCGGATACCATTAGACCACATAGTCCTGGTGCAAAAAACCAATACTAATGAGTTTGCTCTAAGAATCTATCTAACTCTACGTAGAGATAAGTTCAACTAACAACAATGCTCTAAAAACAAGTATAATAATTTCATCTGTTTATTTTGGTTAATCAATAACTATAAAATAATTTTTTTTTTTAAATACGGAGTAAAATTTTTGTGATTATTATAATATAATACGAAGTATAATATTTTTACATTTTGATGTAAAAGTATTATATTTTTTATCGAAAATATTATATTTTCCTTTAAGAAGTGTTTGGTTGGATGGAAAATATTTTCTTTAAATTTAAAAAAAAAAAAAAAAAATTTCTTTGTTTGGTTGGATAAAAAATATTTTTCATTCGAAATAGTTTTTCCTTTGGAATAATGAACAGGCCCGGATTTTGGGCTGTGCAAGCTGGGCTACCACACAGGGCCCCAAATTTTAGAAGCTCAATATTTTATTTTTACCTAGTTAGTTTAGAAATAAAAATTAAAATTTTTTAATTAAACCTAAAAGGTTTTATAAAAAAATGGTAGGAACATGTATTTATTGTATTTTAACTTTGAGATCTAAGGTTCAAAACTTGTGCACACTATTATTATTATTCCATAATATGTCTATTTTTACTTGTGCGTTGCACGGAAAAGATTTGTTATAATCTTTAAATTATAACAGCGAATATTATATAGTGCAATTGATGAAATAGGTTGTATCGATTATGTTTTTTTATGTTATCCTTGCTTGAATTCGAGCAAATAATTGTCCAATTATCCGTGCAGTGTGCGTGCAATGCACAGATAATTTATTTGTGTTATATATTTTGATAATAAAATTACGGTATTAGTTTTAAAGATTTTAATTTTGGTAGGGCCTTATTTTATTTACTCGAACAGGGCCACAAAAATCTAAAAACCAGTCCTGGCTTTATCAATGTGAGTTTATAATTGCACATATCTCTCAATCCGTCTATGACTTTGCTATTTCCTTCCTCGTTTCATTTCTATTTCTTCTTTCCTAAAAATCAGTAGTTTTCTATATACGTAAAGATCTAGAAAAATATATATTGATGTTTTTATGATTGGAAATGCTGCTTGTCTAGGTCCATTTAGCTCCCGGAAGTAAATTTAACTTCCAAAAGTACATCAAGAGGTCGTTAGAGGATGACTTCAAGGTAGTTGTGGGAGTTAGGTAATCATACATGCTCTCTCATTTGTATTTCAAAAATTTATGCTTATGTTACCCCCGTATTATATATTTAGATAATAAAATTGTTACTATTTCTTTAATTCTTTCAAAATTTGCTAAATATTCATTCAAATACGTGTGAATACGTATCAATGCAGAATACTACTGAAAATTTTTGTATGAGCAGAAACGGACATGGGGGACCATTTCTACATTAGAGAGAAACGGTCTCCCCGAATATGCTTTTCCTTAGTTGATATCCGGATTAGAATAGTATAGATTAGAAAAAAATTACGATATTAGTTTTTAAGATTTTGATTTTGGTAGTGCCTGATTTATTTATCCGAACAGGGCCACAAAAATCTAAAAACCGACCCTGATAATGAAAACATTTTCTTTGACCACCCCTTGGTATTTTGTTTCCATAAAAAATATTTTCCATAGAAAATAGGAGAGTAGAATTTAAGAATACATGTACTATAATTCAATTAATTAATTATTAATACATCCTTGTTGTATAGTTGAATTGACAATATCCAACCGGGATTTCGTTAATGAGGATAAAGATAAGAAAACAAAATTAAAATGTCCGTTGGTATTGCACGCGCATGGGATGGAGAGTGATGCAATGCAGAGCCGAAAAAAGGGGGAAGTTGAGCACATGCGGCCTTCCAATTTGTAGAACACAAGTACACAACCACTGTCCTTCGCAACTCGCAACTCGCAACTGTGTATATACGGGAGTATTATCCATGTACCACGCCACGTGTCACTTTTTAACTCTCCCCCTCCCCCTCCAAAGATTGACCATAATAAAATTTTGTGATAGAGGTCAATAAATCTCCAATTTGTATTTCTGCTCTCTTGAGGTTTTAATACTACGTTTTTCCAGTTCAAAAAAAAAAAAAAAATCTCTAATTTTTATTTTTTAAAAATATTACATTGTAACAATGTTTAGAGTTAATTACCAAAATGATCCATTGACTATAATAAAATTACTAATTTAGTTATTGACTATTTTTTTAACTAGTTAAGTCCTTCAACTTTAAAAATATTAACCAATTTGATCCTCTGTTTGTTTTGCCGTTAGACATCCGTTACCTCGGGACCAAATTGATAATTTTACTATAGTCAATGGACCATTTTAATAATTAAATTTTCGAAGAAATATGGGTGTGCAAACTTCGGTAAATTTTCGATTAACCAGCCGAATCAACAAAGTTCGATTAACCATTTTTTAACTAATATTTTTCGGTTCGGTTAATGGTTAAAGATTTTTTAAAATTTCGATGAATGGTTAATTCGGTTCGAAACTGTCGACTAACTGAATTAACCGAAATTTTACATATATAAATAAATAAATAAATAAATAAATAAATATATATATATATATATATATATATATATATATATATAATGTAAAATCCATATAAATTGGTAATGTTGATATGATATTGTTTTTTCTTATAGAGTTAGTATTCTATGTATTGTTTTAATTTGATTTATTATTATAAGTATTATTTTTAGGATGTAAAACTTTAGCTTTAAAAAGTTCGGTTAATCGGTTAACCGACCGATTAATCAAAAAAAACTTCGGTTCGGATAATTCGGTAATACAAACTTCGCTTTGGTTAACGGTTAAAGTTTTAAAAACTTTGGTTAAAACGATTCGATTTACCGATTGCACACCCCTACGGAGAAAATGGTGCATGTAATGACCGAAATGGTCCCTTGACTATAGCAAATTTACCAATTTGTCACGAGTTAACGGATGTCTAACGACAAAACAAACGAATGACCAAATTGGTTAAGATTTTTAAAGTTGAGGGATTTAATTGGTTAAAAAAATAGTCAAGGGATCATTTCGATAATTATCTCCAGTGTGTGTGTGTGTGTGTGTGTATATATATATATATATATATATATATATATATATATATATATATATATATATATGAAATTCATGACAGATGGTATACTGGTCTAACCGATCAGACTAGTCAACCAAAATGGTCTAGGGCATATGGACCGGGCCAAGCAATTAACTTTTTTTTTTTTTTTTTTTTGAAACAGGCCAACCATGGACTGGATTAGGTATGTTATTCCTAGTTGATGGGTAAATACGCATAAAGAACTAATCTGTATAGCCGGACCCTCAAAGTTACCAGACTGGCCCGTCATAGCCATCAACTCGACGGAACTAAACCACTTGTGATCAACCGTACAGAAGAAAATGTTATTGGATCACCCTTAGAATTGCCCCGACGAAAAGCCACCCGGCTAGTCTACCGTAGGTTGACCGGTCGACCTACGGTGCAATACACTCCGTGAGCGGGAATACTTAACTTACACGACAAGTAATAGAGGTCAACTTGCACTTGCAAAACGGCGATTGACAGCTTGCAGGCATGAAGACTCTGTCGCCTCGGTCAGTCAACCTATGCGTAGTTGCAGGGTGATGGTCTGACCAAGCCAACGAGAAGACGTCACGTCAAGCCACTTGCAGCAGGAGCATTAAATGCGTAGACCGACTTAGTTAGTATAAATAGGAGGGTCCCAATCACTTCTCATCTTCACTCTGCAACATTTCTCTACCTGAGATTCACTCTACATAGCAATATACTCACTGCTCATAATACTACTTAGTCTCGGGCCGCTCAGTCATCACCCGGTAGACAGGACTATGCCCTCTCTACTTGTTCATAAGCATACATATTCGTAACGCTATCACCAGTATAATAAGAATATTGGGCTCTTTCCCAAATATAACAAGAACTCACAATATTTGGCGGATTCCTATTATTTGTAGGGCTAAGATGGAAAATGAGAACAAACAATATTTAAGAATATAATACTTCAAAAAAAAAAAATTCGTCATCTCTATATTTCTATACTCTTTATTTTAAGAGTCGTATTAACCTTCGTTGACTATTCAAAAGTCATAAATTGTCGTTACTATAGTAATGAACAATATTAATCTTGCAATTGTACGGATCAATTGCAAAAAATAAGCGAGGATCGAATCCACATTTACTCATTTTCTTTTATACATATTTTTTATGTATATGTTCAGTCATTATTTATGTGGACATTTACTCATTTATTTTGAATTGTCGTTACTATAGTAATGAACAATATTAATCTTGCAATTGTACGGATCAATTGCAAAAAATAAGCGAGGATCGAATCCACATAAAATTAAACCAATGCAATTTTATAACTTGAAAATTATTAACTCAACAATTCAAAGTATAGAAACAAACACCAAAGATAAAAATCATCTAAAACAAAATAATTAAATCAAAACTTAGAAAGCTAAGCAAATGAATTACTAAGTAACCAGAATTATCAAATTAATAATTAATGATCAGAATAAAAAAAAACTTAGTAACATGAGTCAATAACTATTACTAGCAAACAAATAGGTTCTCGTATGAACTTTAATTTGTTGCTGCTGCCCAATGTTGAAGCTGCCACCGCCGGAATTAAACTTTTGAAACCCAGAAAGAACTCTTCGCTGCCAACAAGAATAACGCCGCCGGAAACAGAGATGCCCAAAACTGCTGCGTCTACTGCCCGGAAGAATTCTCTCCGGGAAAGTCTATGGTGTCGAGATCGATGAAGCAATGATCCCCCATTCGAAATCGCCCTCTTTTTATACTGCTTTAGCCCACTGCTCCTCCGATTTCAACACGCAAGAATTGTTCTCCAACCCTTCCCGCAGAACATTGGAGAGCCTTTCTTCCGTTCAAAGCTCTCGTCTGAAAAACCAGACATCTAGAAGGACCAGGTCTCTCGTGACGACGACGGAATCGCAACGCTACGCCGGCCGGTGCTCTTGTTCGTGGCACAAATCCAACGCCGCTCATCTCTCTGGCTCGTCGGCTCCGTTGACCTGCAGAAGGAAAATGAGCTTGATTAAGGGGCTTTTGATTGGGAGGAGAGAAGTAGAAGCAATTTTTTTTTTTTTTTTTTAATTCGGTTAAGAAAAGAATAAAGTATAAATTTAAGGAAAAAATGTCAAATAAATAATTAGTTGAAAAATTAATTAGTCCCATAAACTTGTTAAATGTGTAATTTCATCAATTGTTATATCGTCATCCGGGCACACAATACATTGTACGCCTGAAAATCTCATATTTTGTATATACGTATAATATAATACACATATAATACATCTAAACTCCTAACATAATACATAATACACAATCCACATATACTCTTAACATAATATACATAGACTCTTAGCATAATACACATAAATTTTTAAGGCACACATTGCAATATACACCTGATGCATGATATAATTTACCCAATTACATGCATCAACAATTTATTTTGATGCAATTAAACTTAAAAACTGATTAATGACCACACTAAAACACAAAAATTCATTTTTAAACACTAAAAAGTACTCTTGAAAATCATTTTTAACCCCAAAAAGAGAAATTGAAAATCACTTTTCGCTTTTAAACACTAAAAAAGAATATTCAAAAATAATTTTCAAACACAAAAAAGAACACTTGAAAATGACTTTAAAACACTAAAAAATACACTTAAGATTAAAAACAACACTTTAAAATGGCCAAACACTGAATATGTCTGTATCTATCAAGTCACTGACATGAGTTCACAGGTTTAAGAATATTTGGACAAAAGAACAGACATCAAAACACAAAAAGGTGATTGGGTAATTTTTTTTTTTTGAGTGACAAGGAAAACACACAGCTACTACCTGAGGGTAAACCAACTTAAATTGCCCATAGCTAACCAACTCAAACCAAGAAGGCCAATAGCCCGCTCCCGCTGAGAATTGAACTTGTAACCTTGTGGTTACCAAGTCAAAAGTCTGACCAAACTGGCTGGGGATTCCCCAGCAGAAACTTCTCTTTGATAGACAGCTGAAGCTAAAAAATAGAGCTAATATTTTATCGTGCCATCTTTCCGGCCACGGGAGGGGGGTGGGTGCGGAAGGTGACTTGATGACAGAAAGCATATTACCATATAGCCAACACTTTCCAGGAATCACTTGGAAATAGAAATTACCTGTTCATAGTTTCCCAACGGCATAACAATCGGATCTGCATTAACTAAAGCCCTCTCACTTAACTTAATCGCCTTATGAAGTTCCATCCAATGGAGATACTTTGGCTGCCTAAGCAAACCTATTCCTTGCACATAACCCATGGGACCCCAGTACCCAAACCAACAGCCATTTTTGTAGCCCAAGTCATGATTCATGACCACCAGCGCCATAATCCTTGCTTACAAACCCATACTCATAACATGAAAATCTAAACAAGCAGACACCACAAAAACAGTACCCTACTATTTCACCACCGGAATTTCTTAAAAGAATTCATGACAATTATCCCATCCCTATTAATCCTGGGAATGTAAATTTGGTATCAACCAAATTACTTAATATGGAAACCTTACCTTTGAGAGAAAGATGGAACCACCCTGTGACTGCAACAACCTTCCATTCTTCATCATTTGGACAATTTTCTGGACAAACCCTTGCATTGCCCTCTGAAGGAAAAGAATTATGGACAGTATTAGAATTTAGAAAATAAGACAAGTTACCAACCTTGAAAGGTTCACTATTGGTTCTGAAAGTGGTCCCTGTTACATACTTCAGCCAAACAGGGGTCCCTATTAATCCTGGGAATGAAAATTTGGTATCAACCAAATTACACTTAATATGGAAACCTTAGCTTTTAGAGAGAATGATGGGACCACTGTGTGACTGAAACAGCCTTTCAATCTTCATCATTTGGACAAGATAAGAGGAGATTGCTCAGTCAATAGTTCAATACCATGCCACAAAAGTTTATAAAAGGGAACACTAATATCATTTGTAGATCTGAAGACCTGTGAAAATATTAACACCCTTGAACCACACTCTAATTTTGGAAGCAGCTTATACAAAAGAACCATTTTGCCTACAATAAATAAAGGAAAGCAACAGCTCGAAAATCATTTCAAAACGAAAGAGAACACTAGAAAATCATTTTCAAAACTAAAAAGAATACTTGAAAATTATTTTTAAACTAGAGCACACTTGAAAATTATTTATAAAACTTAAAAGAACACTTGAAAATCATTTTTAAAACTAAAAAGCACACTTGAAAATCATTTTTAAAACTAAAAAGCACCCTTGAAAATCATTTTTAAAACTAAAAAAAAAAAATACTCGAAAATCATACCAATCCTATGAACAATAATATCATTTATAGATCTGAAGACCTGTGAAAATATTAACACCCTTGAACCACGCTCCTTTAGTTTTGGAAGCAGCTTATCCAGAAGAACCATTTTGCCTATAATAAATAAAGGAAAGCAACAGCTTCAGCAATCAACTGTAAGATCAACGGTCTACACAGATATATATACATTGAAACATTACCAGCATTCTCTATCAGATGTTCTCCCGTAGTCCCGTAGCATAAGGAGGTCCTGGTTCAGCACCTTGGAACAGATATGGATGATTGCATCATTTCCGCAGTTGCTTGGCTATATTCAGAAGACGCTTGCGCTCACCACCAGAATTAACAACTTCTAGATCTTTTCTCAACAAAACTTTATAATATTCACCCAAGCTTAATCCTGGTCATGGATAGATAACCCAGGTTCAGGCCCATAAGCAGTGACAATTGCCCTATGAAGACTCGCTTTCGCTATAGCTCCGGTGGGTTCCCGTAAACCAAGCCACTCCCTATGAGTCGCCGGCTCATTCTTCAACAGGCACGCGGTCAGAGCCCAGGTTCCTCCCACTGCTTGGGAGCTTACGGTTACATGTTCTATTTCACTCCCCGCTGGGGGTTCTTTTCACCCTTCCCTCACGGTACTACTTTGCTATCGGTCACCCAGGAGTATTTAGCCTTGCAAGGTGGTCCTTGCTGATTCACACGGGATTCCACGTGCCCCATGCTACTCGGGTCAGAGCGTAAGCTAGTGATGCTACCCGGGAGGAAGACCTTTCTCAACATCAGACTTCTGTCTCCTAAGAAGAAATGGTCGAAGGACGTCGTTTGGACAAGTTAAAACAAATTAGTAGACAGAACCAAAAGTCAGTAATGCGTTAATTAATATCTTTCTATGACAAACTTGAGATAGCAAATACGCTATACAGGCATAAGCTTGTTTGGCAAGGAAAATCAGACATTTGAAGTACTTAATTAAAAAGATTCTCCCCTTGATATAACCAAAAAAAAAATGTCTGATTACTAGTGCCACATCCTACACAAAATACCTTGTGAAGCTGTAAAATAATACTTGAAAATCATTTTTAAAACTAAAAAAAATACTTGAAAATCATTTTAAAAACTAAAAAGACTAATTGAAAATTATTTTTAAAACAAAAAAAAAAAAAGCACACTTGAAAATTACTTTTAAAACTAAAAAAGAAAATACTTGAAAATCTTTTATAAACTACAGCACACGAAAATCATTTTTAAACGAAAGAGAACACTTGAAAATCATTTTTAAAACTAAAAAGAATACTTGAAATTTATTTTTAAACTAGAGAATACTTGAAATTCATTTTTAAAACTAAAAAAAAATACTTGAAAATCATTTTAAAAACTAAAAAGACTAATTGAAAATTATTTTTAAAACATAAAAGAACACTTGAAAATCATTTAAAAAAAAAAAAAAAAAAAGCACACTTGAAAATTACTTTTAAAACTAAAAAAGAAAATACTTGAAGATCTCTTTTAAACTACAGCACACTTGAAAAATCATTTTTAAACGAAAGAGTTTTAAACTAGAGCACACATGAAAATTATTTTTAAAACTTAAATGAATACTTGAAAATAATTTTTAAAACTTAAAAGCACACTTGAAAATCATTTTTAAAACTAATGAGCACACTAGAAAATAATTTAATTAAAAAAAGAATACTTGAAAATCATTTTTAAACTTAAAAGAATACTTAAAAATCATTTTTAAAACTAAAAGGAATACTTGACAATCATTTTAAAATTCAGCATGGCAAAGAGGGGGTGAGGTGGGCATTAAGTAGTTAATTGAAATGGAGAGAAGAATCATGACCCACCAAGAGGTAGCGAACTTCCTTCTCAAAAAGCTCACTTAGTCTCTGTGTGTTAAAGTACTGAAAGTCAAGCCTGCAAGACGCGTAGAAAGTAGAAGAAAATTAAAAGGTTTATGTCCAAGTAGATAAAATAATCTAAAATAGCATATCACAGGGAGGATCTTACAACTGAGGCATGCAAGACATTTGAGGCTCTTTGGGTCTTACAGGACCATTCTGTTGCACTGTTTGCCTGAAATAATCCGATACCAAGTAACTATTGACAAAGAGAAGGGTCAAAAATAATTCAAGAAAAAGATAATTTTATAAGTCAGCTGGCAATAATCATACTTGCACTTTCGCTCTCATCTTGGCAGCTGAATCCAATTTTCACTGGCAATCTTCTTAAAATAACCTTATTTTCATCATTCACCAGCAACAAGTAAATATCAGAAAAAGAACTCCATAAAACAAAAGATCATAGACCAACTAACCATTTCATAATCAAAGTCATAGTTATCAGCAGCTGCATAAATGAGATCTAGATTAGCCCACAGAGAGAGAGAGGGAAAAAAGAAAGGAAGATAGCATTACAGTCATCCATCTTAAACTTGATAGCATCTTCTGTAAACTTCTTCATCTTGGCATCAAGTTCCGTAGCTTCTTCTCCTTTAACAATGATCCCTATCTATATCTTCAAAAGTTCATAGACCAACTAACCTTTTCATCATCAAAGTCATAGATATCAGAAGCTACGTAAAATAAGATCTAGAGTAGCCCAGAGAGACAGAGGGGAGACACAGAGAGAGGAGAAAAAAAAAAATACCATATGGTCATCCATCTTAACCTTGATAGCATCTTCCATTAACTTCTTCATCTTGACATCAAGTTCAGTTGTAGCCTCACCATCTGCAGTAGCTCATCCTTATTTACAGCTGCACTGAGTCAAGCCAAAGATCCAAATTAGTTTATTGGAGATTACAACTATATATCAAAAATAGCAAAAATAGTTATCAGCAGCTGCATAAAATCAGATCTAGATTAGCCCACAGAGAGAGAGAGAGAGAGGAAAAAAAAAAAAAGGAAGATAGCATTATAGTCATCCATCTTAAACTTGATAGCATCTTCCGTAAACTTCTTCATCTTGGCATCAAGTTCCGTAGCCTCTTCTCCTTTAACAATGATCCCTGTCTATATCTTCAAAAGTTCATAGACCAACTAACGTTTTCATCATCAAAGTCATAGATATCAGAAGCTACATAAAATAACATATAGAGTAGCCCAGAGAGAGAGAGGAGGGAAAAAAAAAAAAAAAAAATAGCACATGGTCATCCATCTTAACCTTGATAGCATCTTCCGTTAACTTCTTCATCTTGACATCAAGTTCAGTTGCAGCCTCACCATCTGCCGTAGCTCATCCTTATTTACAGCTGCACTGAGTCGAGCCAAAGATCCAAATTAGTTTATTGGAGATTACAACTATATATATATCAAAAATAGCAAAACCATGAGAAACCTTACCTTTTTGCTCTGCCACCTTGCTGGATAACCAAAGCATCAAGTGCAAGCTTCCTATAAGCTCTTTCAATCCCCCTTTCCTCAATAGTATACTGCTCATAGAATTATAATTTAAAAATATTAATTTATGTCCATGCTGAGTTAAAATATTAAAGATAAAACTGAACAAACCTCAGTGCAAAACGGAACACTTGAACTTCCTGCTTCAGACCAATCCTATCAGCACGATCCGGAGATTGCAAAGCAACCTGTGAATTCCAGCAATGTTGGTGAACACAATATCATCGGATTATAAAACTAATAGCATCCAGTGCCAGAAACATTAAATGTTGAATATCCTACCAATCACTGTCGTAAAGTATCACAATATCGGCAGTCGCCAAATTGATTCCGAGAACCCCAGCCCAAGTTGATAACAATAAAGAAAGATAAGAGGAAATTGCTCGGTCAATACCACGCCACAAAATTTTATAAAAGAGAACAATAAAATCAATTATAGATCTGAAGACCTGTGAAAATATTAACACCCTTGAACCACGCTCCTTTAGTTTTGGAAGCAGCTTATCCAGAAGAACCATTTTGCCTATAATAAATAAAGGAAAGCAACAGCTTCAGCAATCAACTGTAAGATCAACAGTCTACACAAATATATATATATATATATATATATATATATATACATTGAAACATTACCAGCATTCTCTATCAGATGCTCTCACGTAGTCCCGTAGTATAAGGAGGTCCTGGTTCAGCACCTAGGAACAGATATGGATGATTGCAGCATTTCCGCAGTTGCATGGCTATATTTAGAAGACGCTTGGGCTCTCCACCAGAATTAACAACTTCTAGACCTTTTTGCAACAAAGCTTTATAATATTGCTTCAGCATCTGGGACTTACCAACCTTGGGGATAGTTTCTTCTTGGGAGGAAGACCTTTCTCAACATCAGACTTCAGTTTCCTGAGAAGAAAAGGACGATGGACCTCGTTTGGACAAGTAAAAACAAATTAGTAGACAGAACAAAAATTCTGTAATGCGTTAATTAATATTTTAATGACAAACTTAAGATAGCAAATACGCTGTAAAGGGACAAACTTGTTTGGCAAGGAAAACAGACATTTGAAGTACATAATTAAAAAAATTCATATTATACAATGTGCCACATCCTACACAAAATACCTTGTGAAGCTGTAAAATAATACTTGAAAATCATTTTTAAACTAAAAACACAACGTGAAAATCAATTTTAAACTCGAGAACACTTGAAAATCATTTTCAAACGAAAGAGAACACTTGAAAATCATTTCTTAAACTAATAAGAATATTTGAAAATTATTTTTAAACTAGAGCACACACGAAAATTATTTTTAAAACTTAAAAGAATAATTGAAAATCATTTTTAATCTAGAGCACATTTTAAAACTAAAAAGCACACTTGAAAATCAGTTTTAAAACTAAAAAGCACACTAGAAAATAATTTAAATAAAAAAAGAATACTTGAAAATCATTTTAAAACTTAAAAGAATACTTAAAAATCATTTTTAAAACTAAAAGGAATACTTGACAATCATTTTAAAATTAAGCATGGCAAAGAGGGGGTGAGGTGGGCATTAATTAGTTAATTGAAATGGAGAGAAGAACCATGACCCACCATGAGGTAGCGAACTTCCTTCTCAAACAGCTCACTTAGTCTCTGTGTTAAAGAACTGAAAGTCATGCCTGCAAGACACATAGAAAGTAGAAGAAAATTGAAAGGTTAGAGTCCAAGTAGATAAAATAATTTACAATAACATATCACAGGGAGGATCTTACAACTGAGGCATGCAAGACATTCGTGGCTCTATGGGTCTTGCAGGACCATTTTGTAGTCACTTTTTTTTTTTTTTTTTTTTTGAGCAGGCACGATTGTCAAGAATTTTAGATATGTAGTTATATTTTTTTAAAACTCTGAATATGTGTGAAGGTAGAGGCCCACAGGCCAATGATAATGAATGGGCAAGTCATTGTACTGTGTGGACCATAACTAACAAAAACTACATTTTTAATATACTAAATATTAATAAAAGTGAAATCATCTATTCTTGTCAATAAGCGTGCTGCAAAAATGAATCAATACATTATCAACATATACAATAATTTTCCTCAATTTATAAAATAAAGAAAACAAAATAAAAAGTAATTAACCAACTCTTGCGCCCCGATTGTGCATATAAACAAATTTCAGCTCTTCATAGTATACAAACCATAAACAAATATAGGAAACTACTCTAATGATGACATCCACAAGCAATTTTCAACAAATACTAGATCCTCTTTTTTGCACAAAGGATATGTTCAAGTAACCATATAGGCATGGCATATTGAGAATATAAGTATCCGCGTAATTAAAAATGCCACCAAAAAATAAATACAAGAAAGGTTCACTAAGTACTAAAAATACAAGAAAAAAATAAAATCACACACACACACACACAAAGGCATCATGAGCCAGAAGATGATACCTAATCGTCTTAAAGAAGTGGTGAACATCTCAATGATAAGTCCATCGCATTCCAGATCCAACATGACAACACATCATTAATAGCAAATTGGTAGGTTGTCAATATGATCCCTTTACTGCAGTATTGAAGGACCTTGTTTGGACAAGTCAAAACAAATTAGTAGACAGAACGAAAAATCAGTAATGCGTTAAATAATATCTTTCTATGACAAACTTGAGATAGCAAAAATGCTGCACAGGCACAAGCTTGTTTGGCAAGGACAGAAATTTATTTTCCAATAGGTACAAAATCAACATAAAACTAATAATTTTTATGTGAATACTAAAGCTTATCATCTAAAAAAAGGAGTGAAAAAAATAAGCAATAGCTAGATTAAAAAAAAAAAGATTGATTCTCTCCTTGTTTCCTTTCCTTACTCTTTGATGGACAAAGATGTGGATAACAGGATATCATTTCCTTAGATTGGGGGCCAGGAGAAATTTACATAAACTTTGAAACTGAAACTTACTCTTCACATCCTGCCTTAACAATGTCATAAGAGCCTTCTGTACAGCATCGCTCTCCATCTTTTCACCTAAAGTCATCAGGGGAGTTCATCATTCCAAGTAATTGACCAACAATGTCAACAACTTTAGCCAAGCAATAATTCATTGGTTATGAAACAGAAAATTACCTGCTCCAAGGAATTGAGGAAGAATCCCAACAACTTTAGGCACATTCCGGTGTATCCTTTTTAAAAATTGAAAATCAAGAACACATTGAAAATCAGTTTTCAACTAAGGGCACACTTTAAAATCATATTTAAAACTAAAAAACAATTGAAAATCATTTTTAAAACTAAAGAGCACACTTGAGAATCATTTTTGAAACTAAAAAGAGAACTTGAAAATCATTTTAAAAAAAAACAAAAACAAAAACTTGAAAATCATTTTTAAACTAAAGAGCCAACTTGAAAATAATTTTTAAAAATAAAAAGAAAACTTAAAAAATCATATTCTTAAAAAAATACTAGAAAATCTGGGCTAAACTAGAGCACACTTAAAAATCATTTTTAAAACAAAAAAAGAAAATACTTCAAAATAATTTTTAAACGAGAGAACACTTGAAAATCATTTTTAAACTAGAGCACACTTAAATAATTTTTAAAACTAAAACGCACACTTGAAAATCAATTTTAAAACTAAAAAGCACACTTGAAAATCATTTTTACAATTAAAGTGCACACTAGAAAATAATTTAAAACAAAAAAAAAAATACTTGAAAACCATTTAAAACTTAAAAGAATACTTAAAAATCATTTTTAAAACTAAAAAGAATACTTGACAATCAATTTAAAACTCAGCATGGCAAGGAGGGGGTGAGGTGGGCATTAAGTAGTTAATTGAAATGGAGAGAAGAACCATGACCCACCAAGAGGTAGCGAACTTCCTTCTAAAACAACTCACTTAGTCTCTGTGTGTTAAAGAACTGGAAGTCATGCCTCCAAGACACATAGAAAGTAGAAGAAACTTATAAGGTTTAGGTCCAAGTAGATAAGGAGGTGCTTACAACAGAGGCATGCAAGGAATTCGAGGCTGGTCTTTGGGTCTTGCAGGACCATTCCGTCGCATTGGTTGCATGAAATGTTCCAGCTCCGAGTAATCGAGTATCTATCGACAAAGAGAAGGATAAAAAATCATTCAACAAAAAGATAATTTTATTAGTCAGCTGACAATTTTCACTGGCAATCTTCTTAAAAGCAGCCTTATTTTCATCATTCATCAGCAACAAGTAAATATCAGAAATGGCAGCATCAGAAAAAGAACCCCAAAAAACAAAAGAACATATACCAACTAACCTTTGCATCAAGTCATAGATATCAGCAGCTGCATAAAATGAGATCTAGATTAGCCCAGAGAGGGGGAAAAAAAAAGAAGAAGATAGCATAGGGTCATCCATCTTAAACTTGTAGCATCTTCTGTAAACTTCTTCATCTTGGCATAAGTTCTGTAGCCTCTTCTCCTTTAGCAATGATTCCTATCTATATCTTCATCTGTGATTGTTCTATCCTTGGAACTGAAAACCATCTCAGCAACAAACCCCACCATCTGCAGTAGCTCATCCTTATTTACAGCTGCACTGAGTCAAGCCAAGGATCAAAATTAGTTATTACAGATAACAGCTATATATATCAAAAGTGGAAAATCCATGAGAAACCTTACCTTTTTTCTCTGCCAGCCTTCCTTGCCAGATAACCAAAGCATCAAGTGCAAGCTTCTTATAAGCTCTTTCAATCACCCTTTCCTCAATAGTATACTGTTCACAGAATTATAATTTGAAAATATTAATTTATGTCCATGCCGAGTAAAAATATTAAAGATAAAATTGAACAAAACTCAGTGCAAAAACGGAACACTTGAACTTCCATCTTCTGACCAATCCTGAACTTGCAAATCAACCTGTGAATTCCTGCAATGTTGGTGAACACAATACCATCGGATTATAAAACTAATAGCATGCAGTGCCAGATAAATGAAATGTTGAATATCCTACCAAAATCACTGTCGTAAAGTATCACAATATCGGCAGTCGCCAGATTGATTCCGAGACCCGCAGCCCTAGTAGTTGAAAACAAGAAAGCAAAATTCTCACTTCCTGACTTGTTAAATGCTTCAATGGAAGCTTCACGATCCTCGCCACCAGTATTTCCCGTCAATCCGGAAATATTGATGACCACGGAACATTAGGTACTCTTCAAGAATGTCTAAAACTCTAGTCATCTGCATAAGATATAAGAGGAAATTACTTGGTCAATACCACGCTACAAAAGTTTATAAAAGGGAACAATAATGTCATTTATTATAGATCTGAAGACCTGTGAAAATATTAACACCCTTGAACCACGTCCTTCACTTTTGGAAGGAGCTTATCCAGAAGAACCATTTTGCCTACAATAAATAAAGGAAAGCAACAGCTTCAGCAATCAACTGTAAGATCAACAGTCTACACAAATATATATATATGCATTGAAACATTACCAGCATTCTCTATCAGATCCCCCCGCCGTAGTCCCATAGTATCCTGGTTCAGCACCTTGGAACAGATATGGATGATTGCAGCATTTCCGCAGTTGCATGGCTATATTTCGAAGACGCTTGCGCTCTCCACCAGAATTAACAACTTCAAGATCTTTTTGCAACAAAGCTTTATAATATTGCTTCTGCATCTGGGACATACCAACCTTGAAGATACTTTCCTTCTTGGGAGGAAGACCTTTCTCAACATTAGACTTCAGTCTCCTGAGAAGAAACGGTTGAAGGACCTCGTTTGGACAAGTCAAAACAAATTAGTAGACAGAACCAAAAATCTGTAATGCGTTAATTAATATCTTTCTATGACAAACTTGAGATAACAAAAATATGCAGTACAGGCATAAGCTTGTTTGGCAAGGAAAATCAGACATTTGAAGTACTTAATTAAAAAGATTTTCCCACTGATATAACAAAAAAAATGTCATATTATACATTGTGGCACATCCTACACAAAATACTTTGTGAAGCTGTAAAATAATAATGGAAAGTAATTTTGAAAACTAAAAAAAAAAAAACTTGAAAATCACTTTTAAACTAGAGCAACACTTGAAAATCATTTATAAACGAAATAGAACACTTGAAAATCATTTTTAAAACTAAAAAGAATACTTGAAATTAATTTTTAAACTAGAGCACACATGAAAATTATTTTTAAAACTTAAAAGAATACTTGAAAATAATTTTTAAAACTAAAAAGCACACTTGAAAATCATTTTTTAAACAAAAAAAAAAAAAAAAAAAAAAAAAAAACACACACACACACACACTTGAAAATCATTTTTAAAACTAAAAAGCACGCTAGAAAATCATTTAAATAAAAAAAGAATGCTTGAAAATCATTTTAAAACTTCAAAGAATACTTAAAAATCATTTTTAAAACTAAAAGGAATACTTGACAATCATTTTAAAACTCAGCATTGCAAAGAGGGGGTGAGATGGGCATTAAGGAGTTAATTGAAATGGAGAGAAGAACCATGACCCACCATGAGGTAGCGAAATTCATTCTCAAACAGCTCACTTAGTCTCTGTGTGTTAAAGAACTGAAAGTCATGCCTGCAAGACACATAGAAAGTAGAAGAAAATTAAAACGTTTAGGTCCAAGTAGATAAAATAATCTAAAATAACAAATCACGAGGAGGATCTTACAACTGAGTCATGCAAGATGACAGGCTCTTTGGGTCTTGCAGGACCATTCTGTCACATTGTTTGCCTGAAATATTCAGGCTCCAAGTAACTATTGACAAAGAGAAGGGTAAAAAATCATTCAACAAAAAGATAATTTTATTAGTCAGCAGGCAATTAGCATACCTGCACTTTCGCTCTCTTCTTGGTGGCTCAATCCAATTTTCACTGGCAATCTTCATCATTCATCAGCAACAAGTAAATATCAGAAATGAACCCAAAAAACAAAAGATCATAGACAAACTAATCTTTTTATCATCAAAGTCATAGATATCAGCAGCAGCATAAACTGAGAGAGAGAGAGAGAGGGAGGGCGGGGGGCGGGGGGCAGAAAGAGAGCAAAAAAAAAAAGATAGCATATTGTCATCCATCTTAAAGTTCATAGCATCTTCTGTAAACTTCTTCATCTTGGCATCAAGTTCTGTGGCCTCTTCTCCTTTAGCAATGATTCATATCTATATCTTCCATCTGTGATTGTGCAATCCTTGGAACTGAAAACCATCTCAGCACCAAACCTCACCATTTGCAGTAGCTCATCCTTATTTACAGCTATAGTGAGTCAAGCCAAGGATCCAAATTAGTTATTACAGATTACAGCAATATATAAAAAATGGCAAAACCATGAGAAACCATACCCTTTTGCTCTGCCAGCCTTCCTTGCCGGATAACCAAAGCATCAAGTGCAAGCTTCTTATAAGCTCTTTTAATCACCCTTTCCTCAATAGTATACTGTTCACAGAATTATAATTAAAAAATATTAATTTATGTCAATGCTGAGTAAAAATATTAAAGATAAAACTGAACAAACCTCAGTGCAAAAACAGAACACTTGAACTTCCATCTTCTGACCAATCCTATGAGCACAATCCTGAGCTTGCAAATCAACCTGTGAATTCCTGCAATGTTGGTGAACACAATACCATCAGATTATAAAACTAATAGCATCCAGTGCCAGAAACATGAAATGTTGAATATCCTACCAATCTCTGTCGTAAAGTATCACAATATCGGCAGTCGCCAGATTGATTCCGAGACCCCCGGCCCTAGTTGATAACAATAAAGCAAATTTCTCACTTCATGACTAACTAAAGGTTTCCATGGAAGCATCAAGATCATCCCCACCAGTATTTCCGTCAATCTGGCAATATTGATGACCACGGTACATTAAGTAGTCTTCAAGAATGTCTAAAAGTCTGATCATATGCATAACAAGATAAGAGGACATTGCTCGGTCAATACCACGCCACAAAAGTTTATATAAGGGAAAAGTAATATCTTTTATAGATCTGAAGACCTGTGAAAATATTAAGGAGGTCCTGGTTCAGCACCTTGGAACAGATATGGATGATTGCAGCATTTCCGCAGTTGCATGGCTATATTTAGAAGACGCTTGCACTCTCCACCAGAATTAACAACTTCTAGATCTTTTTGCAACAAAGCTTTATAATATTGCTTCTGCATCTGGGACATGCCATCCTTGAGGATAGTTTCTTCTTGGGAGGAAGACCTTTCTCAACATCAGACTTCAGTTTCCTGAGAAGAAAGGGTCAAAGGACCTCGTTTGAACAAGTCAAAACAAATTAGTAGACAGAACCAAAAATCTGTAATGCATTAATTAATACTTTAATGACAAACTTGAGATAGCAAATACGCTGTAAAGGCACAAGCTTGTTTGGCAAGGAAAACAGACAATTGAAGTACTTAATTAAAAAGTTTCTCCCCCTGATATAACTCCAAAAAAAATTGTCAAATTATACCATGTGCCACATCCTACACAAAATACCTTGTGAAGCTGTAAAATAATACTTGAAAATCATTTAGAAAACTAAAAAAACTACTTGAAAATCATTTTTAAACTAGAGAACACGTGAAAATCATTTTTAAAACTAAAAAGAATACATGAAAATTATTTTTAAACTAGAGCACACATGAAAATTATTTTTAAAACTTAAAAGAATACTTGAAAATAATTTTTAAAACTAAAAAGCACACTTGAAAATCATTTTTAAAACAAAAAAAAAAAAAAAAAAAAAAAAAACACACACACACACACACACACTTGAAAATCATTTTTAAAACTAAAAAGCACACTAGAAAATCAGTTTTAAAACTAAAGAGCACACTAGAAAATAATTTAAATAAAAAAAGAATACATGAAATCATTTTAAAACTTAAAAGAATAATTAAAAATCATTTTTAAAACTAAAAGGAATACTTCACAATCATTTTAAAACTCAGCATGGGAAAGAGGGGGTGAGGTGGGCATTAAGTAGTTAATTGAAATGGAGAGAAGAACCATGACCCACCATGAGGTAGCGAACTTCCTTCTCAAAAAGCTCGTCTCTGTGTGTTAAAGAACTGAAAGTCATGCCTGCAAGACACATAGAAAGAAGAAGAAAATTAAAAGGTTTAGGTCGAAGTAGATAAAATAATCTAAAATAACATATCACAGGGAGGATCTTACAACTGAGGCATGCGAGACATTCAAGGCTCTTTGGGTCTTGCCGGACCATTCTGTCGCATTGTTTGCCTGAAATATTCAGACTCCAAGTAAGTATTGAAAAAGATAAGGGTAAAAAATAATTCAAGAAAAAGATAATTTCATAAGTCAGCTGGCAATTAGCATACTTGCGATTTCGCTCTCTTCTTGGTGGCTCAATCCAATTTTCACTGGCAATCTTCTTAAAATCAACCTTATTTTCATCATACATCAGCAACAAGTAAATATCAGAAATGGCAGCATCAGAAAAAGAACCCCAAAAAAACAAAAGATCATAGACCAACTAACCTTTTCATCACCAAAGTCATAGATTTCAACAGCTGCATAAAGTGAGATCTAGATTAGCCCAGAGAGAGAGAGAGAGGGGGAGAGGGAAAAAAAAAAAAAAAAGATAGCATACAGTCATCCATCTTAAACCTGATGGCATCTTCTGTAAACTTCTTCATTTTGGCATCAAGTTCTGTAGCCTCTTCTCCTTTAGCAATGATTCCTATCTATATCTTCATCTGTGATTGTTCTATCCTTGGAACTGAAAACCATCTCAGCACCAAACCTCACCATCTGCAGTAGCTTATCCTTATTTACAGCTGCACTGAGTCAAGCCAAGGATCAAAATTAGTTATTACAGATAACAGCTATATATCAAAAGTGGAAAATCCATCGTACCTTTTTGCTCTGCCAGCCTTCCTTGCCGGATAACCAAAGCATCAAGTGCAAGCTTCTTATAAGCTCTTTCAATCACCCTTTCCTCAATAGTATACTGTTCACAGAATTATAATTAAAAAATATTAATTTATGTCAATGCTGAGTAAAAATATTAAAGATAAAACTGAACAAACCTCAGTGCAAAAACAGAACACTTGAACTTCCATCTTCTGACCAATCCTATGAGCACAATCCTGAGCTTGCAAATCAACCTGTGAATTCCTGCAATGTTGGTGAACACAATACCATCGGATTATAAAACTAATAGCATCCAGTGCCAGATAAATGAAATGTTGAATATCCTACCAAAATCACTATCGTAAAGTATCACAATATCGGCAGTCGCCAGATTGATTCCGAGACCCGCAGCCCTAGTAGTTGAAAACAAGAAAGCAAATTTCTCACTCCCTGACTTGTTAAATGCTTCAATGGAAGCATCACGATCCTCGCCACCAGTATTTCCCATCAATCCGGAAATATTGATGACCACGGAACATTAGGTACTCTTCAAGAATGTCTAAAAGTCTAGTCATCTGCATAGAATATAAGAGGAAATTACTTGGTCAATACCACGCCACAAAAGTTTATAAAAGCAAACAGTAATTTCATTTATAGATCGGAAGACCTGTGAAAATATTAACACCCTTGAACCACACTCCTTTAGTTTTGGAAGCAGCTTATCCAGAAGAACCATTTTGCCTATAATAAATAAAGGAAAGCAACAGCTTCAGCAATCAACTGTAAGATCAACAGTCTACAGAAATATATATACATTGAAACATTACCAGCATTCTCTATCAGATGCTCTCCCGTAGTCCCGTAGTATAAGGAGGTCCTGGTTCCCACGACATCAAGTTCAGTTGTAGCCTCACCTCCTTTAGCAATGATCCTATCTATATCTTCATCTGTGATAGTCTATCCTTGGAACTGAAAACCATCTAAGCACCAAACCTCACCATCTGCAGTAGCTCATCCTTATTTACAGCTGCACTGAGTCAGGCCAAAGATCCAAATTAGTTATTACAGATTACAGCTAAGAAACCTTACCTTTTTGCTCTGCCAGCCTTCCTTGCTGGATAACCAAAGCATCAAGTGTAAGCTTCTTATAAGCTCTGTAATTAGCTCATCCTTATTTACAGCTGCACTGAGTCAAGCCAAAGATCCAAATTAGTTATTACAGATTACAGCTATATATCAAAAATAGCAAAACCATGAGAAACCTTACCTTTTTGCTCTGCGAGCCTTCCTTGCTGGATAACCAAAGCATCAAGTGTAAGCTTCTTATAAGCTCTTTAAATCACCTTTTCCTCAATAGTATACTGCTCATAGAATAATAATTTATGTCCATGCCGAGTTAAAATATTAAAGATAAAACTGAACATACCTCAGGAAAAATCATATCAAAACGCTGTTGATATTAAAAAAATTAACTCTGTTGAAAACTATTTTAAAAATTAAAAATAACACTTCAAAACGCTAAAAATCATTTTAAAACCTAAAAAGAACACTTAAAAACGTGGAAAAATATTTTAAATACTAAAAAGAATACTTGAAAACTCTGAAAATCATTTTAAAAATGACAAGGGGAAAAGAACCCAAAAATGTGGGGAAAACCAGATGGGCAGAAAAGAATTTAGGACACAAAATAATAAGAACAGGCAGGCAATGAAATTCAGACAACAGAAAAAAACATTTTAAATACTAAAAAGAATACTTGAAACTCTGAAAATCATTTTTAAAATGAAAAAGGGAAAAGACTCCAAAATTGTGAGAAAGACTAGATGGGCAGAAAAGAATTTAGGACATAAAATAATCAAGAACAGGCAGGCATAAAATTCAGACAACAGACATCTAAGATTACTACCATTATTACCATGGTCCTACCACAAAGAAGTTCAAATTCATTAAACCAATTTACCTGTCAATTTCTTATCCGCTGCTCTTTCTTTTCCACCTCCCACATAGCTTTCAGTTCAACCTGATCAATCATATAAAGAATATTATATACAAATATAATGTCAACTGGATTGAAGAAAACACTGCGTAGAAATTAAAATAATAAAATATTACCTTGCCGGGATATTGATGGGATTGCGGCTGGATACGATTTTGATGACCTTGCCGTCGTATTTGAGAAGGTGAGAGGCCTGCTTGACAACTCCGGTGTCATTGATGGCAATGACATCAAGGGGAGAATCCTTCCTTCCATGCCAGCACCTCAAGAAGTTCCTTCCAATTCTTCCGAATCCATGAATGAATGCCCCCTCCTCTGCCCTCCTCTATAGCTGAGACAGAGCAATCGGAAATAGGAAACCCTAAATAAATAGCCGAGTAGCCGAGCCTCGGCGCCGACTTATAATTTTAATCCGTTGGAGATTTTGAAATTTAAAGCCGGAGAAGGGAAGGGATTTGAGGATATTTGAGATGGTTTAGAGCGAGATGAGAGAAGGGGATTGTGGTCTGCCGGTCCGAACAAGGGTTAGGGTTCGGCTTAGGCTTGGGATATTATACGTAGGCCGATGAGTTATAAATTGGGCTCAGCACAGGAAAGGTCCATAGTAATTAATTAGGTCATTTTTTTTTTCTATAATTTGAGGTCGTGTTTATGTTTATGATTTATAACAAATAAGGATTAATATGTGATACACCGTCGGAGTATAGATGCTATACACCGGCGGTGAAGGGAAGATGCCACATCATTAAATAAAAAAGTCAATATTAGTTGAGTCCTTTTTTGAAATATTTAAGACTTGTATTTTATTAGAAAACTCTTTATTTCTAACTAATAAAATATAGGCAGGCACAAACTCCGTTGATTGATTCTTCATGCCGCCCCACGATCTTTCATAAGTGCTGATTAGATACACAAACTAATTATTTTTTTCATTTAGAACATTTAACAAGTTATCCGGTAAAGTTGATGACTTGGAGCCGGTAGTATTGATGTGGACTTATTAAAACTGAGAGATGGAGTCCACATAAGCATTGTTAATTATTAAAAAAAAAAAAAAAACTGACACCGGCGTGAGCTCTCTTTCTCTCTCGCTATCTGGACGAAAAAGGAACAAGAGACGGAGTGAGCTCCGGCGAAGCAAGCAGGCAGCAACAATATCTATCTATCTGAATCTGAGATTTTTTTTTCCTTCCTTTCTTGCATATTCCTTTTTTGTAACGGTGATGGAGAGACAGCACTGGGGAGTGAGAACCCCATCGTATCTTCAGCCGGCGACGGCGCCTCAATCGCACCAGAATTCTCCACCGTAGTGGAGCAGTTTGCCGGAGATTTACCCAAACCCCCCGACGTTCTTGGCCTCGAATCAGTTCTCTCCCATCTGTGCGTGTCGTCGGATTACGGGCTCCGTCGTTACCACCCTCTGACGGTGCCGGAGATTCCTTTCTTTCTTGCCCATTCTTTTTCGAATGCTCTGACCTGTAATTTTGACCAAGAATGATGAAATTCATCAAGGAACCTTGAATCTTGAGGATATTCGATGAAAGATAGTTTCTTTTAGCAAATGATCAAAATGGGAGCAAAATATTGCAGGATAATCTCGTTTTCTTGGACAATGAAGGAACTGAGATTGTGCTATCTGAGATTATAGAATATGGGTGATTTGATGAAGAACAAATCTGGGAGTTACCTTATTCAGAAGTTTTTCTCAGTGGGCAATGAGAATAAAGAACTAATATTATTATAGCAGTGCACGGCGGTGTTTGGCGGCGTCTAGAAGCGAGACGAAGTGTAGTTGCCATCACCGATGTCCGTGGCCGATGAAGAAGATGGAGGGCGAGATCGAGTTGGAGAGATCGAGTAGGGCGTTGGCTAGGACTCTTCTTGCTGCGTCGATCATCGATATACTTCCTCAAAACACAGCCTACATGCATGCATAAATAATGCATCCATCAGTATTTCGTTGCTACATCTTTACATGTTTTTGCCATTAACGATGCGGTTAACCACAACAGCTCGTCATCCGTCATGTTCTGCGACTCCACATACTTCTTCTCATCTAGTTTCGTACTAGCATTTAAGGGTAGCAGCGGAGGAGGAGGATTTTGTGGCAATGACAATGACGATGACACTGTTGTGGTTGATGTGCAGAATAGTGTGATGTTGGAAAAAAGTTGGAAGCTTGTGGTAAATTTGTGGTTAAGCTAGTTCTTCATTTGTTTGTGTCAACTGGTACGATCTTAAAAGAGAAATGCGAAGCATGAATAAGTCCACGATTTTCATCGCCGTCAACGTCGAATCAGCGAACTTCCCGAAATAAACTGTGGTGAATCCTCCACTGCTTACAGAGCCTGTGTGATCGGGTCTCGGCGCTGAAACTGGAGTTTGACCAGTTATAGCTGGAGAAAAAGAAGACAAAAGTTGGGGACAAGAAGTACACCTGGACGCCGGAGATCAAGAGTTCGGAGGAGGATGGGTTTGACTGGAAGTACAAATGGGTGGTAAAGATTAACGACCACCGACGGGAGGAAGGGAGCGCCGGAGAAGAGCTACAAATTGACGGCTGAGATCAAAGGAGAGGGGAGGGTGAGAAGACTGTGTTGACTACATGTGTATGAAAAAATAAAAGGAAAAATCCATGTCAGCAAATTATAACCTACAACCTATAAGTAACCTGTAAAAAGTTCTAGATGAATTTATTTTTTTTTGGTTTGTGCATCTAATTAGCACTTATGAAAGACTAGGGTACGACATGAAAAATCGCTATTGGTTCATGGTGCGGAATGACACTTTAGCCTAAAATATATCTACTTTCCTAAACATATTTATTATTTAATTATTATCTATCTATTTTCATTGCATTTTTAATTATTATATACATTATTAATTAAATTGACAAATGATGATTATTTTATATTAAATATATATTAATCACACATACTGTGAATGAACTAATGAAGTATATATTGTTCCCAAACATTAATCACCCTACTACATTGGCGCCTTGTAATTATTTTTTTAATTTTATTTAATTATTAAACCATTTGGAAATAAAACACTTTTACAACTATTTTAATTTTTATTAATCAATGAACATTATGAACGTATTTCTTAATCTATGGACATTATGAATGTTTTTCTTAATCTAGATAAAAAATATCAATTTTAATCTATAAACATTATGAACGTATTTGTTGATCTAGATTAAAATTGATATTTTTGATATGTAGTATTATTTTAAATGTTGTACTAAATAAATAAAACAACACCACCAAATCAGCTTTTATTTTGGATACACTTTAATATTCTACCTCGGTTTGGGGATACTCTGTGGTGCGGTTGGGTACATGGGATCTAATTTGTTTGTGCGGAGGATTTACAAGAACATTAAATGCGACTAAAGATTCTGCAGTGCATACGATGGGGGTTGTGGTTGGGCAACTGTGCACCATTAAGTTTTACTTACCGCAAGATCAAGTCTATATACTACTCTCGAGCTTAAAATGCCCAAAACAATGATGGTATTAGTTATCCCGCTTTTAGCGAGAGGGTGAATGGACATTGTAGATTAGATACTGAGAATGTTTTGATGTTAGAATAATCAATCGTTTCAACATTATATTCTTGTAAACTAAAATGAACCATTTTAACTTGTTTTGGACTCAATTTTGAATTGATATATCATTGGTAAAAAAAAAAAAAAAAAAAAAACACCATTTGGGTCAATTTAATTAATAATGTATTTAATAATTAAAAATGCAATAGAAATTAGATAAATAATAATTAAGTAATAAATATGTTTAGAAAAATACATATATTTTGTTAGTTAGAAATAAAGACTTTCCTAATAAAATACAAGTCTTAAATATTGTAAAAAAGGACCTAATCAATATTGACTTTTTTTATTTAATGATGTGGCATCTTCTCATTAACCGCCGGTGTATAGCATCTATGCACCGACGGTGCATCAAATATTAAGGGAGCTTTATGCCGTGTAACCGTGTGCATCATATATGGTGCATACGGTTGCAAAAATTAACGATGCGTTTTTACGTTCAATTTTTAAAAAATAATCAGTTTCGATGGTCATTCACGGCGTTGTGTTGTGCATAATTTGAACTATACATCCATAACTTCATAACTATACATTCAGAATTGCATAAATACACATCCATAACTTCATAACTATACATTCAGAATTGCATAACTACACATTCATTAACTTCATAACTATACATTCAAAATTACATAACTACACATCCATAACTTCATAACTATACATTTAGAATTGCGTAACTATACATTCAGAATTGCGTAACTATACATCCATAACTTCATAACTATACATTCAGAATTGCATAACTACACATCCATAACTTCATAATTATACATTTAAAATTGCATAATTACACATCCATAACTTCATAACTATACATTCAGAATTGCATAAGTACACATCCATAACTTCATAACTATACATTCAGAATTGCATGCATAACTACACATCCATAACTTCATAACTATACATTCAGAATTGCATAATTACACATTCATAACTTCATAATTATACATTCATAATTGCATAATTACACATCCATAACTTCATAACTATACATTCAGAATTGCATAACTACACATCCATAACTTCATAACTATACATTCAGAATTGCATAACTACACATCCATAACTTCATAACTATACATTCAGAATTGAATGCATAACTACACATCCACAACTTCATAACTATACATTTAGATTGTGAAAATATAAAATTATTATAAACATATATTTACGTAACTAACGACAATCAAAAATAAATTTTTTTAAAGTAAAATAATGTCGTTTTTGCAACTGTGTGCACACAGTTGTACAACATAATTTGTCAATAAAAGGGCCTTGTGCCATTATTTCCAATCATTATTTCATAGACTATGATTCACACATTTGTGTAAACTAAAAATAACCCTTAGGGTTGGGGTTCAGCATTTCTTTGGAAGAATGTAAACTAAAAATAAAAAATATATTTATATAGATGAAGTACATTATCTTTATCTTTATATATATTTATCTTTATCTCTATCTTTATCTTTATCTTTATATTATTACTAGTATTTCTTATGCGCGATGCGCAAAAAATAGGTGCCCAATATTAAAATTTTAAATTCATTTAGATTTTAGATATTTAAATTATTGTAAATAATAATAATAATTATAATAATAATAACAATAATAATAATTATTATTATTATTATTATAATGGTAATGTAAAACATTTCTATAAATTTAATATTTATATTTTAAGAAATAATTAACATATAACCCCAATATATAATGTGTATGTTATTATTAAAAATAAGAAAATATATGGTGGATGCATGTGCATGGTAGCAATAGTGGAAAAGATAACAGAAGCTATAACAGTAGGGGTATGTTTGTCCAAAATATTGTATAGTACAACATTTATAGCATAATGTATCATAAAACTTAACGGAAAAAATGGACATAAATGAAGGG